TTGTAGATGAAGTCAATATACTGTAACAATGAAGACCAACTTTCTTTTTAATTAAAATCTTAACAAAAAGTGCATTGATGAGTTTATTGCCTTTTTAACAATAAAATCAATTTGGGTTATTGATGGAATGCTAAATCATTTTTTTACTGTATGTTATATTCTTTTAATTTTTAAAACCTTTAAAAATGAGATAGCTACCTGTTACTAGTAGCATTTTTTAGATAGAGTCGCTGTTTATAGAAGACGTTATGAACCTCATTTGGACATCAGAAGTTCAGAAAGATATATCTTGTAAAATTTTATTTTATTTTATAAAAGTTTTTTGTACAAGAAAACTGTAACGTATCTTATTTTATACACAGATACATATTACCCATGTGTCATGTGAACACTTTTGACTGTGTTTCAAAAGGGAGTATTGAAGAGAATAGCAAATATGATTAGCGATCTTTCTTCTGTGATGTATAGTATGAAAAAAAATCATCCATGCATTAAGTACCATGTGAATAAACAGTATGGAACCAAACGTTTTTTGCTTAAACTATTTATTTTTTGGAAAACTAATTGATGAATGATAAAGTACTATAAAAATGTTTTATCAAGAATAAATTTTTTCGAAATTTTCTTTTGTTTTTGAGTTCTACAATTTTTTAATTTTTTTAATGGCAACTCACTATAAAACTATTGTTCTCATGATTTTGATGATTTTTTTTTACTTAAATTGCAATTTTGACAAAAAAAATCGCATAGCTCAAATACAAAACAAAATGTCGTTCTCAAAATACGATCACTTTTTTTTATATTACTTTAATTTATATTAATTATTATTTCCTGGAGGCATATGATTTAAAAAAAAAAACTGTTTGGTTTCATACTTTATATTCACCCTAGATGTAATTTTAAATATTTATGGTGAGATTTTAGTAGTAAAAGACAAATTTATTTCTCTATGTCTCTTAAATTTGTTTTAAAATATCATCGATATCAAAACGTCAAATAAAGTTAAGATTTATTTCGTCCTTGATAATTGTTTTACATTAGTTTACTACTAAGGCACTAATAACTTCGCCAACATTTAATTTACAGTAGGTAATATTATTTGACCAATTTGTAATTGCTATCAGTACTAAACAAATTTATTGCTATAATTAACTCATGTAAATATTTACTATTTTAATATATTGCATACCAGTTTACATGTTTGGTAATTTTCGCAGTAAAGTCAGCAGTGATTGTTTTCAAATTGTATGAGAGAACTGTAATTATTGATAGGCGTTACAAATTGATTATCTTGAAAAAATTCATTGTCATTACGCGCTTCTTTAACACTAAGTTACCTCGCAGTGGGAAAAATTTGTAAATGACACGCTTTAACTTTGAAAATTATTATTTTTAACATGATTATACGTAAAATGTTGTTGGAGTCACGATTCATACAAGGCATGATTGGACATTGTCCATTTCTTTGTACAAAACGCTTCCAGTGGCGTAGGTGGATTTTTAATCCGACAAAACAATAGGAGGTTTTTTATGAAGAGGCAAACCGCGGCCTATTCGTTACTCATCATTAATAAACCGAAACGAATCGGTAATGCTAATCCGTGGGTTTTTGCTCGTTTGGAAAACAAACAAGTGAGCGGCAATTTGTTTATTAATCGATGCGGACCGAAAGCTCCACCTACCGCACTAATTTCTCGAACCGGTTTTTCGGTGATTCCTGATGACATATCATCCCTATTAACACCTAATTTACGTTTGCCGCTCGCTGGTTACGGGCATCCGGAGCGGTAGTCTCCGGTCTGTCATTAGCTGGTAAGAAACGCCCCAGTTTTATGCATTTACGTGTAATCACACGCGGTGTTAATGTGTCAAATACGGCATGTCAGGAGTCATCGTAGCACGCACACCTACTATCCATCCAGCAATTACCTCGTTATCAACGTCTCTTCTAACTTGCATTGCTTCATTAGCAACTGCCGCCACCTCTTGTTAATGTGGACTAATACAAGACGCGACTTTCTCTGGCTATTGTTCCTTAATACTTTAAGAGTCGCACTAATTGCGGTGTTGAAAAGTCTGATTATTTTTGTGAATTTTTAATAGCTGGCGTCTAGCAGCCCTTCGTTCTAATCCCATAGGGTCGGTGCGCTCATGCGCCCTTTCAACCGGTTGCCATAGAGACTGCCTCCACTGTCGTGTTAAAAAGGTGTATGTTTTTGTAGAATAATTATTGTTTTGGCGGCGCTACGAATTTCTCATTCTTGGCGAGTTTTTAATTAATGAAAATTGACTTTGGGAGAAGTTCTTTGASGAGAATTTCGGAAGACGAYAGACTTGAGTTCTCCACAACGACACTTGAAGATGTTCACTTCAAAATTTACCGCCTCTTCAGTCACAAATAAAATTGCGAAGCTCTTGTCTGTTCCTTGTCAACGGCAGCGAAACTGTTTCGCCAACAATGATATGAGCGTTCTTAAGCAAGGAGTTATTCACCAATTCAGATACTAGATGGCGGTACTGTAATTACAATCTTGAAAAAATGTAAAGGTCTTGCTTACCTGATAAATGCATCTAGAAGGGGAAAGAAGAATCATAAAATAGTTTTTCTCTCCAAAAACTATAATTTTAATTATTATTATATACTGACTGGATTATAAAAAGCGTCCCAAGCCACGACTTTATTATATTTAAAGATATGACAATTCATCTTTGATCAATTTTTAACAGTTTGTGGTGAATTTAAATAGATGACAATAAACTGTGCAACTTTGTTTCAAGAAGTATTGTCATATGTTTAGAAATAATGGAGTTATGGCTTCGGGCGTATGATCCAGACTGTATAATTATATTACGTAAATATGAATATTTGGCGTTCTTTTAATTCATTTTGTTGTTTATGTTTAATTAAATTCAAATGTAAATATTAAATTTTTATTATTATTTTTACATTTTATAAATTCATGTTCCAAAAATTTGAAAATTCTTTAGGTTTGTCAAGACTAGTTCTATTACCAATTTTAGCATAGCATTTTGTCATTTTTATCATTATTTCGACCATTTTTTTACAGCAATTTCTGAATTTATCAAAATTTCTTATTCAATATTTTACCTAGTCAAATTAGACAAATTAGTGGAAAAAAATCCTAGAAAGTTGGAAGATGGCGAGCTCGAGGAGGGGGAGGGGTTTAAAGGTGTTTTTTTTTTTTTTTCTTATATCACTCCTATCGATTTTTACCTTCTTATCAAAATTAAAGCTTTCAAAATTTCCTACAAAAATAGTCCTATCTAGTTTTTAATGTAATTTTATGTAGACTCCACACTTCAGAAGCCTACGATTAGTCATATGAATAGAACCATTTTTGTAGGAAATTTTTATGCAAAAATAGACCTGCAGAAAATTTTGCGTAAATTACATAAACGATGAGTTTGTATTTATAGACATTCATGACTCCCCCCTCCTTTACTGTCAGTTTTTCCAAATCACAATTCTGTTTTAAATGTGGTTAAAGCACATTTTTTTAAATGATGTTTTTTGTCAGTCCTATAACTCGCTTTCGGTTAGTCCTACAACAAAAATGCAAAGGACCATTTTTATAGGACACTTTGTAAGTTTTAATTTTGATGAGAAGGTAAAAACCTATAGGAGTGATCGTTTCCGATATATAAACAAAAAAAGACACCTTTAACCCCTTCCCCCTTGTCGCCCCCTCTCTTTAGGGATTTTTGATATAGTGTAAAATGAGCGTTTACAAAAATTCCAACTCTGGAATTTTTTTCCTCCGATCACCCTATTTTTGTCTAATTTGACTGGGCTAATTAGTATTGGAAAAAATTTTGAAGACAATACAAGTTTTATAGTTTATTAAAACCCTTGTTGTCTTATGAGCTAATTTGATAGAAACTTTACTGCGCTTAAATTATGTTTTTTATTTCATTTTGATTTTCGTTTACCTTTATTTTAAGTATGAAATAAATATGTTTTTTCTCTCAATAAAGGAGATGGATGATCTTGGGCGAAAAGAAACTCTATTATATTAATCTTCAAAATAATATTTGCAGAAGCTTTATACATGATTCGTGATTTAATTGTTAAAAATAGATTTTTATTGCTTTGTCTTGTAAAACAGTTTACAACGAATGTATTAAAAGCTACCCCTACCGTCCATGTATTAGTTATTACTCACACATAAAGCTTGGTAGGTTGMGATGTTATTAAATTTCTCACAAGATATTTTATTACCAAATTAAGTGATACAGATCTATTATTTGTTGCCAATTTTTAGACCCTCATTGCTCTGTGCAGGCAGCTATAACGCTGTAGGGGTTTAAAAATATGGCCTACTGCTTATTTTGTTCACGTAATGGTCGCTTGATTAGAATTTAGATTGGTTTCGATGGTATTGAGAAGGTTGGGGTAATGGGAGTGAGGTAAATTGTCCCTTTTGAATTACGATAGTGGCGTGGTCAAGGTGGGAGATTAATGCGGCGTGGTTAGACTTTATAACGTGTGAAATGTGATGTTTCATAAACGAGTGCTTACAAAAAGGTGAATGTAACGCATCGCAACAACGTAATTGCAGCGCAAGTAGCAATCTTGGTGAGTAATTAATTGCCGTAATTATTAATAAGTGAGCGGTCATTGTACGTTTACCATTATTTATCATGATATCGTGCGGCGATACCAATTTAAAGAACAAATTAAAATTAAGTAAATCGTCGCTATTACCATGGCTAGATTGTATATTGGAACGGCAATTTATTACACCTTTTCAATATTCCTTGGATTTTTGCCTCAAGTCTAGATACGGAAACTGGTGCATTAATGAATAAACATTCCGGGGATTTATTTACTCGTGCAAGTTCCGCCGCCACTACCGCCCCCACCCTGTTTCCTGTGCAACCCTTTTGTTTATTCATGCCGGTTGCAGTAATGCCACCACTAATCTCCTCTTATCAGGTCATCTTTGACTTTATTTGACGTTTGGATTTTTCTCTTGCAGGCTAGTAAGATGGGCCTGGCGCCAACGGGACACCCGGGAGCCGCCTTACCTTTCTTCTGCCACAACGGAGACCCCCTTTCGCAGCCACCACCGGCGCACATGGGAATCCCCCCCTACCAGTTGGACAGCAAAACCGCGGGTTCCATGGGTGAGTACGGGGGTGGTACCGCACCACCACAACCCATCAGCCCCGCCGACTGGAGACGACTCGGTCCGTTACTCGCAGCAGGTACCCATTGAAAAGTAACCGCCGCCAAAACGGCGGCGGCGTAGTGGTGGAGGGCTCAGTAGCTGGGCGTTGGGTGGCTGTTACTAATACCGGGTGGTTTTCTGGTAAAAGCGCCAGAGGGTTGCGTCGAGCATTTAATTGATGAAGTGCCACGGTTGCTTTTCGTTTTTTTTTATTTTGCAATTGCTTGGGGGGTTAATATGGGCGCTCAGGTGCAATGTTTTTTCATTACAAAGGGGTGCTTAATATTTATTTTCGTTTCGCGTCAAAAATGTTCAATTGCAAAGAAACATTCTGTATTATCTAGCACACACGAATATTGGACATCTCGGGTGGTCTTTGTTTTTAAAAAGCTTTGTTGGGAATTTGTTTTCATTTTATAACTACAATAGGTGACGTTTTATAATTCAAAAACTGGACTTATAATACACAAATTGCATGTCTAGTGACACGAACTATAAACATTACAATTTTTAAATTAGTGCCAGGGAAATTTTGCATAGTTTATCTTATTGCGTGATTCGATAAATGCATATTTTGTTTTGCATATATCGAGAGTCTAAACAAAAACGTGGTCAAGAATGTTCAGGAAATTTCATAACGTCAATCTTGAATAGTAACATCAATATCTGTCAGTTTGTCTTTTGAGACTCAATTAACTAAAAATTGTTCTATTGTATGAAATATAGTAAACTTTTGGAGGCCTCAATCTCCCTAAAAATTATTTTTTCAAAGAAATGTGTTCCCCATGTAGCAAAAAATAATTAAAATTAACAACGTAATTAACATAGGATAGCAAACAAAGATTTTTGTCATTATTGACGTGATTAAATTTGTTTTGAATAACATTAATGATAAATCGGCCTTTAAATTAAAGATTCATTTAGACTTCTACAACCTACTTGATGCACATTAATTTGAAAAAGAGTATACGTGCTGCCATTTTTTTGCAACTTTAAATGTGATTTTTGTTTTCGTATTTTAGAGTGACATAGAAAAAGCCTTTTTCAATTTCGGTGTCAGCATTTTGTACAACTTTTTTGGCGATATTTTATGCAATACTTTGGCAATCACTGGCCATAGACTGTCGTTTTTAAGTAAGAAATTGTAGAAGTTCAACGTATTTCACCGAAGCTAATGCAATTTAGGCTATTTTTGAGCAACTTGAGTACCGCATACTATCAAAAATTTTAACTGTCAAATATAATAATAAATTCAATTTAAAATGCGCTCAATAGAAAAAAATGTATAAAAACGCGTGTTACAACCTCGTGCATTTGTAACACTTGCCATTGCGTGGCTTGTGTTATAAACTACTCATGTCACAATGAGAGTGTTTGTAACACTTGTTTTTTAATATACTATTGAATTATAGATACATATTTATAAAAAAATACATTGGTTAAAGGAAGAATATTTTTTTAAGATTCAAGATTTTTAGAGTTACAGCAGAGTTGGACATTTTCGAGATAACTTGTTTTTAAAAATCATTGCAACTACTGTTGCTATACATAATATAATCCAAAGCTAATTTTTTGAAAAAAAAAAAAATTTGAAACAGTTTATTAAAATCTGTTTTTTGTTTCTTGATGTACGAAAATAGTTATTTTTGTTATAAGTACCTAAAATACAGTTTTTGTGGATGAATGGTTGCTGTTTTCGGACGAGGCAAAGCCGAGTCGAGAATAGCAGATGAGTCCGCAAAAACCTTTTAAGTACGTGTCAAACAAATTTTTTTTTGTTAAAGCTCCGAAACACATTTACACCTCTTATTATTGTTATCAGAGCACCATGGCACCATAGTAATCAGTATTTTCGTCCCTAAAAACTGTATTTTAAGTACTATGTAGTACTCGAAATGACTATTTTGCTTACTATTTTATTGAGTCCGAAAGACTCATTTTGGGGACTCAAATGACCGCGTAATAGCTATTTTAGGAGCGTATACAAAAACTATTTTTTTCTTTATGAATAATTTGTAATCACCTACATATCGCCTTTAATTATTAAAATTTTCTTTACATACTCGCAAATGACGAAAATATTTTTTCTTGTACTTCTCGTTTATTCGTTTTCGTGATCAGAATTTGTCTTGTTAGCTATTTTCATTTCGCCTCCTTTTGTCTCCCGTCCTTATTAGCGACACACTTAAATATCCAAGAGGTATACGTCTGTTCGGGATCCGCTACATCTCTCGTTGACTAATTAGACAATCTTTTTCGACTTTGAAGTGAGTCAATTCTAACGACATCGTCTTCGTCTTGCGGTCTCTCCCATGCCCGTGACAAAAAGCCGGTTCGTTACCGACCGCTTCGTTAACGCGTCCCGTGTGTCTGAACGCAACCGCAACGGTTTAACCGCGTCGAAGACGACGCCGCGCCGCACCGGTTCGGTTCGCGATCAAAAGGTAAGAGTCGGTGGGTCTGAACCGTTCTTTCTTGCAGCGTATCAATTAAACCGTAATTGGGTGCGTGTGTTCGAGAGCTCGATTCTTGGCCGTCTCTCGTCTCCACCACCCTGCATGCGGTCGGTACGCTCTGCAGGAAACGGTAATTGGGTAGCAGTGTATTTGTAATTTAATTGTTCATTATGCCGTATGCGACCGAACATATATTTCTGAAACGGGCTGCTCGACGACCAATTGATTTGTTTTTATGGCGCGTTCTCCATAAACAACGGAATAGTTTTTCGTTGGGCGACTTGCGCAGCTTTGCACGTTGACCGGCGGGGCTACCACAACGCCGGAAATTAAACAGACCCGGGGCGACACTGGAAAATCTATCTTTCCCACATGATCACAAAATCGAAGCGAAGTGAAGAAAATTTAAAATGATAGAAGGGAAATGTTTTAGTTATTTTTTTTTTTCAATAGCAAAAGCAATGAGTACATGTTGCTGCATTTTTGATGTCCAAATAAAGAATCTCCGAAACTTAGAAGTTTAGCCAAAACCGAGTGATACATGCTGGGGCTCATTTTTGAGAAAATAGCATTAGTTAAAACCGCATCCCGTTTTTGTTTTGTTTTTAAATTATATACAAAAGTTGACATTTTAGGAAAACCTTGTTATTATGGAAGATACGGATTTGAAATAAAGACATTATTATATGATGTAGTTAACAATTTTTTTATTTATTTGTTTAATTTCGTAAAAAATAAACTATTTTTTTTAATGGAAGACATAGATGGCTATGGCAATTTTGAAAAGCTTTATTTTTCCCCTCCCAAAATTCAGGGTGTTTAACATAATTTCACGAGGCCTGCGCCTGTAAGATGCAATCAATAATACATACTCCTATACGAACTCGATTACAAATTTTGAAAAATTTCTAGTTTGTTCATCCTTTTAAAAATTACAACGTTTTTAGTGATTAAGATAGATAAACTAGAATCATATTCATGCCGTCTCTTGATAGAAAAAAATGATAATTGTTTCAGAAAAACTGCACTTTAAGATTATTAATGAAACAGTGATTAGTTTGACAACTACTGTCATGGGTTTCCAAAAATTTTTCCAAAAATAAATAATTAAATGTGTATTTTTTGTATACAGTGTTTTGTGACTTTGTATCATTGGGTGTGTATATTAGGCTATGCGCAAGCCTCGTAAAATTGTGTGAAACACCCTGTATATATTTGTAGCAGAATATTTTTTTCTAAACATACTTAAAAAATCTAATACATATTTTATTTGACAGTAGTTGACCATGGAAAAACTCTTTCACCTAAAATGTGTAGATAATAATCATCAATAAGAGTTTTGTGAAATGTGAAATAGATGAAAAAAAAGATACAATTATAAAATGTAAAAAAATACGATACGTTAGAAGTGTCGAACAAATATGCGAGCGCCTCGAACAAAATTATTAGATATTTTTAAAAAATCAAGAAATAAGAAAAACAAATGTCTGAACAGTCAATACACTTAAAAAATGGTCTAATGGAAGTAGGATAACGGTCCACAGTGATYAAATTTCGGTATTTGAATAGCTATATCGTCATTTTTTTGTCAATTAAAATATATTTTTTCTACTCCCACTTCTAAAACACGGATTATCGTATATGTTTCCATGACGCTAAGTGACTTTTTGTATACATCTTGACAAGCCGTGACTAATATGCGTATTAGTCACGGTCTGAAGTTAGCTTTCTGTCATTTAATTAAATTTTTAATTTAAGTAAAAATTTTTGTGGTGTTCGTAGAAAAAGTATAGTATGTAAACTTCTAGACATTCGTTTTATTAAACACTCGCTTCGCTGCGTTTCGTTCGTACCTAATTATAAAACTCATGTCTAAAATGGCGTTTATAGCACTAGTTACATAATATACTATTATTGAAGAATTAAGTTATTTTAATTACGAATTATTAATGTTTTATTACTTAGTGCTTAGAAAACCCTTTCATTAATGACACTTGTTAAATAATATAGCTTAAATCTTTTTAGTTGAATATGCAACATTTTTTATGGCCAACTGCGAACCAAAATTAAACATATTTTTTTGCTAAAAATATATTATAATATTCTGTTACAAATGTATATTTTTAGATAAGGAAAAAACTAGCTTTTAAAAAATGTCATAGCCATCTATGATTCTTATTTAAAAAAATAAAATTTTATCTTATTACGGCTTAACAAATAACTGAAAAAATTGTTAACTACATTATTAAATTCTAGGTAAACGTGCCTGTATGTATGTATAATTTCAGATTCGTATGTTCTATAATAACGAAGATACGAGTTTTTTTAGTTTTTGTTAAATGTCAACTTTTGTCTATAAGTCGAAAACAAAAGACAATATCAGGATGTAGTTTGAACCAATATTATTTTCTCCAAAAATGAACGCCAGAATGTATCATCAGTTTTTGACTAAACTTTTAGTTTCTGAGAACAGCCAAAATGCAGCACCGTGTACAATAGAAGCCAAAAAGTAAAAAGTCAGCTTTTTTCAAAAATACTATGGCATGGGTCAACCACTGTTAATAATGTAAACTTTGGAATAAAACGTTTAAAATACATATCTACTTTCCTGAATGCTTTTTTTGACGAGTTTGTTGTATTTCCACCTCATGTATGTCAAAAACAAACTATAAGCCACTAGGAAAACTAACGCCAAATGAAGAATAAATTTAAATCATTACTTTTTCTTTCGATTGGAGTAGAAAAATGTAAAACTGTAGAAGACCACCAATGAGAAAATAATTTTCATGATGATTTCACCGCTTCGGGGTGCTCATCCGAAAGGTCAATACTAATAAAAATTTCAGATTTTCGTTTTTTGTAATGAAAGCTCGTTTTTCTGTCGTCCAGCATGACGTAGCGACCCTCACAAAGGGCGAATATCTCGAAAGATCTCTATCAGTTTTGCGGGGTTGTATACAAATTCGTCGACCAGGGGTTGTCGCACAATAGGAATGCCACGGTGKGTTGCTTTTCATTGGAACTTGTTGATCTGAACAACGGATATTGATGTACGCACAATCYCAACCTCGGGGACCGGCAATATTTAATATATCAATTTGTTAATGGATGCAGCGCTCGGCCCTTTAATCAACTTCGGATTAGACGATTATTAACTGAGCGTTGTTCACTTTAATCTTTATTTTCTAGTTTTTACTGAATTGGAGATTAATCTGAAGCTTTTCATGTAAGCCCACATTTACCGTCAAACGAATTTTAATATCCAGACGCTTTTTCGAGATTAAACGTTTGCGGATTCGAGTCAACAAGTGTCGCATTTGATACAAAAACACAAGTAGATAAATTAGGCCACCAAAGGCAAGTGAAACCTCGTAGAGAGGGCAGGTATTGAAGTGGTTGCCATTATCCTAATTATCTTGGTCGTTTGCATATCGCGCGCCTCCTCAAAGGACTCGAGGTGTTTTCATAATTCGCGAGAGGAGAGTCTCCTTTGAACTGGAATCTAATTTTCTCTCATCGCTGCTGTTCTGTAATGTTTAACGTGTTGTTGATTTTTCTTTATCTCCGCTAGGACGGTTTAATTGTCCTCTTCCGATCTGCTTTTTTTCCATATCGTTACATCGTCCGGATATCACGCCAAATGTGGTTTCATTAGCTCGATAATTGCCGAACAAGTGTAGCATCCCTTTACGAGCTCGATGCCCCTTTGGGGATAGGGGATCCTATCATTATTCGCAGCACGTGGCCTCTTGGTCTTTACGCGGTTTTAATGACTAACCAAATATTGCACTTGACGAACTAGCGGACCAAAATAATTCCAAATTGCAATCTCTTGTACAGACTAGTCCAAAGAAACTGCACAAAAATCATTACACCAGCACATTATTATTTACATGATGAAAAAGTAAAACTTGAAAAAACAAATCTTCGTAAAGTGAGTGATGGAGGAAGAACCTTTAATTAATGGACTCTCACGGAATAATTTTCTGATAAGTGCACAATTAGCGATATGTGTAATTAAAACCCGTCTTTTTGCCGTTGACAGTAATAGGGGCTTTATAATTATCACTTTTGCGCATAGCTTTGACGGAAAAGCGTCTCAGTCTTGGGCGTCAATGGATTCGTTTTTTCCCTTGGTCAGTTKATGTCTTGAGGCCCTGATTTGGGCCTGGAGCCGGCCACGTGTCTGGCTCTTGGTGGTTGCGGGTTGATAATTAGTGTAGTTTTTGTCATTGTAACCACGATGGTACCGCACGTGCCATTTTCGGCAATTAGAAATGCGACCGGTGACAAACAATGGTGCTGCGGTCTCTAATTGGAACAGTGACAAGTGTCGGTTTTTTTATGCAAAACAGAGATGGGTTTTGTTTGCTTAGGTGGATGGCGAGGGAGGAAACAATCAATTCTCTACGATTGAATCCGGGAAGACTATCAAATGACAAATGTAATAAAAGTCCGAGTTCCCCGCTGTCATTACAATAAAACGGCGGGTTTAAGCCGCGTGTAATTGTCAGCGAGAGGGTTAGGCTGGCAGGCAACCAGACTCCTTTGTGAGCGATAATCGATACGGAGGGACTTCCACGTATGTGAATATCTACACTGAGTCTATATGACATTCTCGTCATTTTCATATGGAAGTGATAGGGCGGGTTTCGCAGGGGCGGACTTGGGCTTTGCGACAGAAACGAAGAGAAAGCAAAGAAACTGAGTGGCATGAGTTTTTAAACGACCGCGAAAGAGATATAGCTATTGTTTGTGGTCAGGTCATTTTCCTGAAGCTTTTTCAAGTTTATAAAAATAAAATACRCACGAAAGATGTAATAAGAAGCTGAGTTTTCGGAAATGGACCACAAACTTTCGATTTTTCCATCAAACACAAGTCCATATTGAAGTTTTGAGAAGAACAGCTATGGTTTCATACTAATGTTTAATATTTTGTTCTAAATTGGATACGTGGAGGCAGTGATTCGGCGATTGTTTATATCGTTTGATCTAAATTTTCAATTAATGCGTGACTTTTGGGCTGCTCTTTGACCCGAAATCATCCATTCGGTCTCTGCGTTGTTTCCATTGCACCCCTTTCRACTAATTGTCCGCGTCGACTTTTTCCTCATTGAAAAAAAGAATAGATTTYCATCTCTTCGCTCACGTGTGTGATCAATTTTTTATAGGTCTCTCCCCTGGTAAGTATCAGTTTACGCCATATCCTTATGCAGTATCAACCGCCTCCTCGTTTCCAAATGCCATAATTTCTCCGTTATACCTGCGTTTATGTCATAACGTTCTGTTATTTTCTCGTTAATTTTTGATGTCTTTAAAAAATTATCGCTGGATGGTTATCTTTCGTCTTTTTCTTCGTAGCCATCGTTGGTTGGAATCAGTGCGGCCATTAGCAGTTTTAGGTGCTGTTTATTGCGGTTCCAGAGGGAAAGTACATCCGTTTCGATACAAAGCTCTCGACTTACATTGGACAATAAATAGAGTTTATTTCATTGTTCCAATGTAAACGATGAGTGAATTGAAGTTTTTCACTCGGATCATGTTCGGTTTCAATTTGTTTACTCGTGACGAGGCCACAAGAGAACTCTTCCTCCGTAAGTCTCATTTTTGCATCATTACAACGGATCTTCGTGCAAAATGATACGCTTGACTTTGCACCCTTTTTACATGTCTAACTTGAGCGATATTTAAATTTTCGAATACCGGTCGACGTCGAGTAATTGCCAATTAGACTATTTTTATCGTTTCAGAGGTGAGGTCAATATTTCAGACGGAATTGTAGACACTTTGCAAAATCTGTGTCATGATTTACAAAGACCCACACGTTATTACAGTCTTGTCTTTTATCTTCCGACTTCCGTTTGCAGTTAGTTTTGGCACACTACCAAAATTACCGATTTCACAAATATTGAACATTTTTGTCAACCGGAAACTTTCATTTTGCTGATTTATTGGCATGTCTCGAAATAAGCAACTACAACCGACGCAGAAAAATTCAGATTTAAGACTCTTGCCAGTAGAAAAAAATCATCTTAAATCAAATTTTTCAAACTTGTTTTATCTCTTTAATATTTAATGCTTGAGCAAAACAGCTAGATGATAGATTTAGGAACTATTAACTTCATGTATGTGAATAAGACTAATTTGCGTTGATTACCACTTCAGTAAAAGAAGGGAAATTGTAAAATTGTTAATCCAAAGCACCAGCACTTATTCAACTCTTACAAAATCTCCCATTACGTGGTATCTTAAGGTGCAAATTTATTACTCTTGATGTTACTAGTTGTATTTATAAAATTAAACCTGCAATCATATATTTTACCATTAATTAACAAATAAACTTGGTACATTTTTCTTTAACAATATTTAGGCGCACTTTAAGTATAGTTATTAACACGGTTTTGGTCAATTTTAAAAGAATTTTTATTGAAATGTTTTATAATTCGTTGTTATTCTGTTACGTTGCAGGACTCACGAGACCACCGATGTACCCTTTTCCTGCTGGCCAGTACCCTTACCCCATTCTCAGTCCTGAAATGTCACAGGTGGCGGCTTCATGGTAAGTTGCTTCGTCTAATTAGATCCCTGTTTTCTATTACGTCGACTAATGTAATAATATGTCTATTAAATCCATTCAAACATAATTTGCTTGAATAAAAGGCCCGATGGGTCGATAGCGGGCAGAAATTGTTGAGTATATTATTGTGAACTTTGATTTTTCTTCCAAATGATTCAGGATATGACATTTTGTTGGTATTGTATACAGGGTGTCCCAGCGAGTTGAAAAAGTCCATTAGTGATTTTTAAATGGTAAAATTAAAAAAATATATATAGGACATTGATAGATACTAATTAGTACATCGCCTAAAATTATTTTCAACTACACAGCGTGTCTCAAAAATAAGTTACAATACAAATTTGCGTTTTTTTAAATGAAACACCATATGTTTCTTAGCGTTTTTGGATGTAGATTTTTATGACAATGTTTTAAACTTTTATTGGTCGATTTTGCTTAGTTTTAAAAATAGAGTTTTTTTTGACGAAAACATGCACTTTTTTAAAAATTTCATTACACAAAAACTAAGACATTTAGAAATATTTTTTGTTACTACCGCAAAGAAAAAGGTACAAGCTATAAGTTTGTAACATTTTTTTAGTGTATTGCATGTGCAAAGATAAAAAAATGAAGGCGTTTATTAAAAGTTCAATAACTTAAAAAATTTAAATGGAACATTCTATTTATTGTTTTTGCATTTAAAAGATTATTAAATTAAATTGTCTTTCTAAAATTATTTACTTTTAGGTGTTTATAATCAATAACTAAAAAGATATTTAACGTTAAACATAAAAAAATTCCTATTGTTTCAGTAGCAAAAAGTGCACAGTTGCACAAGAGATGGAAGAAATATCACTTAATAATCACATTTTGTGTTAAACTGAATCCATTATTCTTTATTTTTACAATAAAATAATCCGAATTTCTGTATTTATAACGATTTTGACAATCTCTGGATAAATCAACGGATAACTGATCCGCTGATTAATCAACAATGCTCAGATACTGATAGGCATTGTTGCTACAATTAATATTGAATATTAAATACTTTTTTATTTATCAATTCTAGACATTAAAAGTTTAATTTTTTAGATAGAAAATTTACCAATCTATTAGATGCAAAAATAAAAAATAGGTGTTCCGTTTAAATTTTTTAAGTTATTTGACTTTTGAGTTATTTTAACAAACTTCTTAATTTATTAATCTTTTCAAATGCAAAATACAAAAAAATTGTTCTAGCGCTCTTAGTTTTTGTGTAATGAATTTTTAAAAAGTGCAGATTTTTGTCAAAAAAAGTCTTATTTCTAAAACTTTGCGAAATCGACTAATAAAAGATTAGCGTAAAAACATTGTCGTAAAAGGATACATGCAAAAATGCCAAGAAACATAGTGTTACAAACACAAGTTTGTATTGTAACTTATTTTTGGGACATGCTGTATGGTTGAAAATAATTTTAGGTGATGCACTAGATTAGCATCTATCAATGTCCTATACAATTTTTTTTAATTCTACCATTTAAAGGTCACTAATGGACTTTTTCAACTCGCTGGGACATCCTGTAGTTTGGTTCATTTTCGATGATTTTTGTAGTGGCGTTGGTTTTGTGGTACGATTTTTGGATTTTATGTAATAACCAATAGGAGCACTATAAAGAAAATATTTATATTTTGAGTCGAAGATGAACCACCTATAAGCAAAAAACTTGATTTTCGTATTTTTAGGGCTCTAAATGCCCGATACTTTTGATTGAATTACTCATTAGTCTTACATTTTGGTTTATAGACACCTCACAATATATACCGTCAGAATTTGGGCAGTGTTGCCTATGCTTTCGACCCAAATGTGGTATAATTTTTTTTAGCTGCCTTCAAAGGAAAAGGATAATGAATGGCCGACTATTTGCTTACAAATGTATCTCTAATCGGAAATGTTCRGTTTATGGCTGGCCTGCCATGCCAGAGCCTGACACTGTCAATATTTCATTTCAGTGGTTGAAATATTGCCGTTGTGTACTTAAATTGTTTGCAATTGCAGGCACACGCCAAGCATGTACCCGTTGTCGCCGGGCGCCGGCTTCAGGAGTCCGTACCCCAGTGCCCTCCCGATCTCGACGAGCAGCCTGCCTAGCGACTTCTACCGGTTCTCCCCCACGGGGCTGATGCCGCCGCACCCGGGCCTGTCGCCGCACCCGCCTCACCTCTCATCGCATCCGGCCATCGTGACGCCTGGACCCAAACAGGAGTTACCCGACTTGAACCACAGGTGGGCGCATTTTTGCAATCTTTGGATTGAAATTGGGCTAATTGATGGCGCAGAGCGATCCCTGCTCGACGGGGGCGGCCATGCGAGGAATGAGGTCCAAGATTGGTTATCGGAGGCGCGGCCATTGGCCAGTCGTTGCCCGGCAACCTCATCTCGTTCGGTGCCCGAAGGGTTGCCGATGTATTTCATCGTACTTGGCTGTGCACGGCGTTCTCTTGTTTGGTTTTCATTTGGTCTCGTTCTGTTTGCAGTCCGCGTGATACGGAATTCAATCCAATTGTTTATTTTTATTGGATGTGTGTAACCTAGGCCTTTTCAAAATATTTCCTTCTGAATGAAGGAAGCACACTTGACCAAACCAAATCTGCTAAACATTTATTCCTTCAATGATTTTCAATTATGTTATTCGTTAAGTGGGGCTTTCCTAAGGGCGATTTTTGATTACATCGCTCGAAATTAAAAAAATTAATTAAACATCAACGCTTTGGTACCCTTAAATTTAACCCCTTCCTCTTTAATCTCATTCAGAAGAAAATCATTTGAACTCATACATGAAAGGGAATACAAAAGTCGCTGAAATGACAGCCTCATCCGTAAAAAAGAAAAAAATGTGCTTGCTTCATGGAATAAAAATATGCTAAATCTTTAAAACCGCACCTACGAGACGTCAATTAGGGTAACTTATGTGCCATTTGAATTTCTCGAACATTATCCTATAAAAATATCAGAAGTTCTTGGTTGTAAATTTCTCTTATTTTGCTACCTAACGATGCAATTTTTATTTTAAATGTCGGGTTGTAAGGCATAAACGACGGAAATGGAGTTAAAAATATCAAGTTTACTTGATTAGAGTGAGTTGGTAAGACAGAGCAAAGACATTTGATGCTTCGTGGATTTTTTATTGGGAGTATTACATGATAGCAGAAGAGCATCGTTTACATTCAAAAAATTTTAATGAAAAAGATACATAAACTTAAAACTTACGTTTTTTTTAAAATTGAAGACAAACTAGATATTTCCTTTATTATTAAACTATGTTATCATATGAATCGCGTAATTAACAAACATACAGGACGCAAAATTGCACACCAGCTCAGTGGCAGTTTTTGAGGTGCAGATTATAAGAAAAATATTGAAAAAAGTCTGAAACTATTGTAAAAGATAAAAAATTCTGGATTTAATTTTTTATTTTCTAGGATACAGACCTGCTTGGTTAAAGATTAATTTCTAACATAATATAAACTTGGAAATAAAAAAAAAACAACTATTTTTCTGTAAAGTGCCTTTTACGTAGCAAATACGACAAAAAGTTATTAAGAAAAGTTGTTTAGACTCAACATTTAGGCCTCTCTACCAAATTTCATTGCCCTACTAGGGTTTTTTATTTTTTTCCAAGATAATTGCTTTTTATTGACATGTTAAAAAGTTATTTAGGATTAATTATCTGAATGTTATTATTTTCTTTATAATAAAAGATTTGTTAAAAATAAAATTTTAATTTTAATAAACATCATCAAAGTTGGCCAATGATTTTAAAATTTAGTATACGGGTCTAGATATTGATTCTAAACAACTTTTCTTAATAACTTTTTATCGTATTTGCCACACAACAAAAGGCACTTTACAGAAAAAAATTCCAAGGCATACATGATTTTTTTAAATTTTTGTATATAAAATTATGTTAGAAATTAGTCTTTAACTAAGCAGGGCCGAACCTCTAAAAATGAAAATTTAAATCGAGAATTTCTTACCTTATACAATTGTCGTGTTTCACCTATCGTTTCTTACATCAATGACGGATAATTGTAGTTGCATCTGCAGCCAGTATCTGGCAGTACTTTTACTTTATGTATGTTAAAAAACATTGTCTTGGATTTACAAATTGTTCATTTAATGAGATTCATTTAATATAAGTACACTCCAATTTTAATTTTCGTAATTTTTTCGAGACAACCTCGGTGTATGAAGCTCCACCTATGAACAAGTGACCAGATCGAAGTCGGTATGTCAGCGTTTTTCACCCCTCGCATTCGTCCTCCTGCAGAGAGCTACCCTTGCACGCAATGCAGAATCCGCCTTTTCCCACTTTAGCCGGCTTTTGTGTAGACAATCAATAATTCCTTTTGATAAGCACTAAGTCTGTAATGACATACATTTTTTATCGTATTATCCTCAAGTTTCAATCGGCTGCATTGCTYGCTCGACGCGATTTTCCCGGAAAAGCTTCATCATTTATTTTTCTTGGAAAAATGGCCAGATATTTTCATAGAACGTCGACAATATTTCATGAAAAATTTATGAAGGGGAGGTCCCCCGCCGTCCGTTTAATCTCGACGCTTAATGGATTTTCATGCAATTTTTCCGCGGTGTTTCTGTGCCCTGGCCGCTCCTTGCGATCAATTAGTCCGCGAATTCCGCGGCCTTCAAAAAGAGATCTGTGTAATCAATCATTAAATTGGGGTTAACGGCGCAACGACGCTGTCGTCGCTCTGCCAGCAGCAACAGATTTGTCTATWATCGAATGGTGTGTGTTCGGACCTTTGTCAGACCGGTTGCGGCAGGAATTTCTCCTGCTGAAACAATCATAAATAAAATCCGCGAAAAACAAGCTGTGCTGTGCGTTTCCTCATCCGACCACGTGTTTTCTGTCTGTTTCCATTCAAGCCAAACAAAGGACGGGCACAGCCATTCATATTGATTTTCTGTGATAAACGGCGAATAAAAAACTTGTTGAATCTCGTTGTATGTTAGTGAAAGGTTTATGTGCGGTGCACGCGGTCCTCTCTCTTTAATCTCCCAGACATCCCATTAATCCTCATTAATGTTATCATGGATACCACAGAAGAACCTTTAAATTTAACAATCAAGAAAATGCCAATTGCCATCGTCGCTCCCTTCACTATCGTCGAACCAAAACTCAACAACGACCTCGTCAAGAACGAAGAGCTTCCACAAGATCTCTCCCTGAAACTCTCCAAAAACAACGATCAATGCTTAGATCTCAGCAAAACCAAAGAAACCAATTTAGAAAAATCCAACTTGAACCACAACGAACAATTAAGGAAATACCTCTGCAAGAACCAAGACGAAACCAGAAACCATTATACTAAAAACACCTACAACGAGCAAGACAACAAACTCATGGACCTCTACAAGAATCTAGGCTCCGACTCTGTCTATTCCTTCATCAACAATCTAACCGACCGCAAACTCCTCAGCGCCTGGTACATGAACACCGTCCTCGGCCACCAGAACCCCTACCTAGGCTTACCTAAAACCGACTCGTCCGACAACCGCATCCTCAACAACCTCCTTGATAAAAAATCCTACCCCACTTATAAATTTCCGACGAATTTTGACGCACTCATCGTCAACGAGATGCGTTCGGAAAAACCCGAATCGAAAAAGAACAAGAAAGGGTGATTTGGTGGTTTCTAAGGTCCCCCTGTTTGACGCTGTGTTTGCTTTTTTCAGGTCACAAGTCGACCACAAGAACAACCTAGGAGACTCGAAGAACAACCAGGATGGCAATAACGGAGAAAAGAAGAAGCCCCACATAAAGAAACCCCTAAACGCCTTCATGTTATACATGAAGGAAATGCGAGCTAAAGTCGTCGCTGAATGCACGCTCAAGGAAAGCGCCGCCATCAATCAGATACTCGGCCGAAGGGTAAGAGAGACGGTTTTATCGACTTTCGGAATGAATGGGTGATTGTGGATTTGTGCGGTGAATTTGTAAAAAGCGACGCGAGGTTTTTTCACATGCATTTGTTTGGGAACAAAAAGTATTTAAAAGTTTAGGATTTGGTGTAATTAACGTGGAAAAACAAACGAGAAAGTTTTGATCTAACAAAGGTAACTGCCGAAATGAACAAGAGATTATAGTTATTTAGAAAGACTAGACGGATGACAACGTTTTATAATATTAAAGCTTTGCAAAAATGAGAAACGAAGAGGTGAATGATTAAAAACGCGCGTTTTTTAAAGTACGATATTACATAGCGGACGCCGCTACTTTCATCGACATAATTTTTATACACTCCGGCTTTTTATGTTATAACTTAAATACTTTGATATACTGTATACTGATAAAATAATAGAAAATGAATGAATGCAAAATTTTTTCCTGTGAGTACTGATACTTTAATGGAATGTTTTGCTTATAATAATGCAGAATATCCGGTAAAAACGTTGAGATTTTGGAGGGGTGGTTCCTTAGGTCAAAATAAAAAAAAAGTTCCTATAGACCTTGACCGGAAATGCTTCCTGAGGAAACTAGAACCCCTATGAGTGAGTCAAGAATTTAGTACCCTAATTAGGGGGGCATAAGGCATAAAATTTTACGTGAAAAAGTTTTTTGAATTTTTTGAACTTTTTTTTGGCAGATTCGGATTTATTGTCTAATTATCTTCAAAAAATATCTCTTTTTTCTTAAACCGTGCACTGACCTTAATTCCGAAAAGCAACCAACGCGGTGAGTTTTTTCATATAAGATCTAGTTATTGCTCTAGTCCCCTTTGGAAGCATTTGGTCCAGAAGAACGTTTTTTTATTTTGACCTAGGGAACCATCCAACGAAATGTTTCAACGTTTTTTCCGGACACTTTGTATAGTTGTCTTTATCTTTAGTCTTTATCGATTACAATTCATTTGAAATATGTAAGGGGTTCTATAATTTTAGCACCACACTTAACTATGTTTTTCCAAATGATTTACTAAATGCAATAATAGTTATTCATGTAACGGCCGTGATGCATTAAGTTTTTTCCGACCCCAAATTTAAAATTTCGGTAAAAAATTTCTAGTGGACTAGTCCGGTAAAAGGGTACTTTCTTACCCCGAAGTTGTTGTTGAAGTTGTTTTACAGGACGAGTGCATGAAAAACCGTTTTGTGCTCTTAGATTTTGTTTCAGCAACATGTTTGGGAAAATTTTGAAAAAATTGTGAGCCTAAATAAAAACATGCGTATGCATGTTACAAACTATGTGTTAAATAAATAACTTTAATACCAGTCCGACAAGTTTGTGGATGAGTAAATCCAAGTTTTTCAAGAACAAACTAAAAGTTAGTATTGACAACATTTTTGAAAGCACATTATAACGTTCTACAAATAAAAGGAAACATCAAAATCTATTTTATAAACTTTAAAAAAATGAATACTTGATTTATGTTAGTATTTTAATTTTTTGAAGCCGATAGTTATCTTGATTTCAAATAAATTTCTGATCGAAATAAGTATCATATGACTTTGAAATTAAGTTGACAACAAAAACTCGCAAAATCAAACGTCATATTTTTATAGCCAAGTTGTCAATTATTTCGGAGGGGCGGTCGCAGGCATGGCCGTCATCTGACGCAATCTAATATAACAAATAATTTGATGTTGCCAACTTAATTTCAAAATCACTGATCACTTTGATCAGAAGTTTATTTGAAAGCATGGTATATTATTATTATTTATCATTTCGTTTAGCATTTCTGACTATGTTTTTATCTAGACTCACCATACATGTATGATCTAAATTCTTTTAGCATATTTGTTAGCTTCAATAGAAAACCAAATTTTAATTCAATTTTTTTCGCTTCTTATACACGTACTAACTAATTCAAATTACTTTTATGAATCAAGTTTTAATATTTATTTTCAAAGAATTAATAATAAAGAAGAAGGAATATAGTTGTCGGTACTGTTTTCTTGTGTTGAGTGTTTGATTTCTCCTTGCGTATGTGGTCCGAGTAGTTTATGGTATGTGAGAAGTGTGCGAGGGAATGATGCGTCCATGTCGTTGGGGCCTTGTGTCCCAGTGGATCTAGCTTAGCGCCTGCCGTGTGCGAAGTGTCCTAATGGTGTGGTTGCGCAGTGGCACTCTCTGAGTCGCGAGGAGCAGGCCAAGTATTACGAGAAGGCGCGCCAGGAGCGCCAACTGCACATGCAGCTGTACCCGGGCTGGAGCGCGCGGGACAATTACGGCTACGGCACCAAGAAGAAGAAGCGAAAGAAAGAACGCACACCAGTCGAGTCGGGAGGTACACGCGCACCCTAGAGCGGCCGGGCGGCGGGGCCCTGGAGCAGATCCCAGGCTCCAGCGCCCCGTCGGCCGTCCAACGTGCATACGCGCCATGGCAGAATGGGTCGGCGGCCGGCTGGCAGGTCTCGGTTCTTGCGGCTTCTCTTGGTGCCTGCCGTGCCCGCCGTGTGACGATGCTGACTCTATAGTTCTGTTTAGTGGCACGCGCTGGGCCGCGAGGAGCAGGCCAAGTACTATGAGCTGGCGCGCCGGGAGAGGCAGCTGCACATGCAGCTCTACCCCGACTGGTCGTCGCGCGCCAACGCCACTCGTGGCAAGAAGAGGAAGCGCAAGCAAGACCCTGCCGATGGAGGTAGCTCTGCCAACAACTCGCAAATTACTCTAACTTGAACCAATATTGTAACTTGCGAGACGTGCATCACCTATTATATCTATTTCTTATATTTGCATGTTTGGGGTAATTCGGTTGGCCGGCCGGGACCTATTCTGCTGAGGGTCGAGCAGACCCCTTGTTGGTTGGACGAGTCGTATGCACGTTTGTCAGCAGCCTGCATGATCATACATATACTCCCTTCTATATCTGTTATTATTACCGATCACTAGACCAATCACAGCTCGCTTAGGCCGAGCACAGCATGCTCCCACACCTCAACCCATTCAAAACATCCCATCCTGTAGCAACAACACAACACATCCAACACCCTGTAGTCTACACCTAGACTCTGGATTCGATCAGTTCCAACCAAGTCACTATCAAATCCAGATCTTTAGTCATTGTATAGATCCATTATTAGAAGTAGAATAGAACGGGCTGATCAAACCATGCAAAACAAAAAATTTATCAAACGTCAAAACTTTGGCTTAATCAGTCCCGTACGCATGAACCATCCTCGAGAAATCTTAAGACATTTATTAATGATTTTGCTTAAATTTTACCAGGTAACAGCATGAAGAAGTGCCGAGCAAGGTACGGATTGGACCAACAAAACCAATGGTGTAAACCATGCAGGTGTGTACCTTTCCATTTCTATCTCTTGGTGTTTTTATTTCATTCGCATGTTTTTACTTTTGTTTATTTTGTTCGGAATAACCAACCTGATTAAACACTGATGGACGTTTGAAGTAATTTGAGCTAACCACACGTTTGATTTTTGCACAATGATCAAGGCCAATACCAAGTTCTCACGCGTTTTTGGTAAAAATCGGATGCATGTTTTTGCACTGTTTTGGAAAGTGATCTCGCACAGTAGTGCTATAGCCACAGTGTTGCCGTCCATCGCGTTGTTTTTTCAGTCAGTTTGGTTATTGGTGTGCGGTGCTGCCGGCTAGGAGGCTACCCTGCAGCTCCGTCCCCGGTTTGGTGTTTCTTATCTATGTGGAAAGACTGTTGTTTTATTATTTTGTGTATCAAGAGACACTGTGGCGTGTGACGGGATCAGAAAATGTGTCTTCCCACAAAGAAAAGGACCCATTGGCTTAGTTAATGTGCACTAGACACTGCTGTCGTCTAACGGTCGTTAAAGGGGGCGATTGATCGGTTAGTAATAGACACATTTTCTGATTGGAAGCCATAGGGTGTTGTGTGTATTTCTGTTTGGATGTGTGGGTGTGAAATGGGCGCCTCTTTGTACAAATAACGATTGTTTAGCCCCGAGAACAGCTCACATGGCGGCGGAACTTCCACGGTCCACACCGGCTTGCTGCACGCAGCAGGAGGTGCTGCTACCACGCAGTCGCCCCAGGAACCGACATACGTCAATCTATAGCCCTCTCGTGGTTAGTTTGCAGCAGTGTTGGTGTCATGTTAGCTCTAGATTCGTTTTTTTTTCTGTGCAGAAAATTTTTCGTTTCGGGGAGACCCCCGATTTTTCTGTAGATATTTTATAACCAAATGTAACATTCGCATGATTTTTTATTTTGTTTATCACTTACGAGCCTAGTGGTCGCATCGTTTGTATTTTTTCTTCTTGGTGTACCCTGAACCGTGCACTTAATTGCATTGTACAACAGTTGCGCTATTAAGATCGCGAAAATGATAACTGCAGTTAATATTGACAAGCGACGTAATTGGTGTACGCTATCATTACCATTAATATTAAAAAGGAGAAAAAGTGGTATTAAGATTGCGAACGATTCGTTTTTTTTTTTCCATGGAATATTGCATGATATTTGAAGCGTAGTGGTGACCTAGTTGCTGTAGGCTTTGTGGACGACAGATAATTTAATTTTTTTCTTTAATGGCGCCATATTGACGCGTCACATCATTACATGATAAAAAGGAACAGTAATCAGTAATCACGCAGTGGATTCTTCTCTGGATGCTCAATTTGTGGGATTTTTTTCAATGGGTGGAATATACCAATTAGACAAATCATTGTAATTTTAGACAGAATTTTTTATTGCCGAGATTACGATTTTAAGGTCGCTAATATTGTTTTATTATGCTCTAATGAGAGGGTTTCCTACGTTTACCGGTGAAAAATTTGGGTAATTGTGGGTGGACAATTATCTGATCGTTTTTACTACCTTTGCAAAGAACGTAAAAATTAATCTTTTCAAATAAAACCTCTAATTATCATAATAGCCAGGAAATAGTTTTTTGTTTCAATTGGAAGAATAATGACCAGTTCATGAATTGATAATTAAGAAATTATTTGTTAATACTAAGCAGTAATTATCTATTATTAATCTTTACACATAATCGAAATTGCTTACAAATAATGTTTTAAAATTGCTTTAAAACTTTAATAAAACGTTAATATAAAAAAATCGTCTGCGTTTATCCGAATTTCTCTTAAGTAATAAAAATAAAATAATAATTACATAAATTTGTTAGTTTGAATGACTAATGAATTCACAAAGTTAAAATTAAAAAAAAAAGTAAAAAGTAGGCTGAGCATTACGTATGCAACCCAATATACATTTCTTAGTGTAATTAATTCTACATGAAAAACTAATAGTGGGTTAAGTTTTTTTTTTCAGCTTGTGTGCTTAACACTCTACAAAGTCAAGTTTTTAAATTACTTAATTATTTAAATATGTAATTAAATCAGAGTTTAATAACTGCTGAGGGGTCCCAGTTTTCTTTTTTTTACAAATTATTTTGTTCGTGATGTTTTAATAATTGAGTTTTTACGATTTCGGTTGCGGTTACAGGAATACATGGTGTTGAGGATGAATAACGAAAGAATCTCTTAGGCTACGCCGATGTTTTGCTTTATTTTAAATAATTGCCTTTTAATAAGCTAGAAACTATATCATTTCTTCAAACTCGCGTTTAGCATACCATAAAAATTTTAGTTGTTCCTTATATATTTTTTTGTGTTCATTGACGGCCACTTTATGAAAATTTATTTTTATTATATTTTTTTAAGTGTTCCATTGTTCTTAAAATGAAAATAAAATAACGTCAAGTACAAAAAAAAAAACACAACTCATCTAGTTCTGAGTAAAAAATGAAAACTAATAATCCAGCATTGGTTTGAATAATATTTCGTTATGCATTATAACTTCGATTTTTCAAGTAGTTTTAATAATTTAAGTGGCCTAACCACGATCTGTTGTAAAAAGCAATAATCATAATAAGCTTTTTTACGATTCACTTGTTCGGGAAGGAAAAAACTTCTCTTAAGTACGAAATTTTAAATTACTTCAAAAGTGTTTTTTGTCTTTTTCTTTTAGTAATATCTGAGACTCTGTTCTTATCTACATATGTCAGACGTTATGCCATTGAAGAATTTTTTTAACATTTTATTCACGTTTTTTGGTTTTATTGTTTACGCCACAACATTTTATTGTAGGTAAATACATACTATGGAAATAAAAAGAAGTTAGCTATTTCCTTGGCTGTTTCAGTAAGAAAAATATCTGTGGCTCTGTGGTGAAATCTAATTAAGCTGAAGCACTTTCAATAATCTTTTTGTAACAAAACTGTCTTCAAAACGTTATTATTGCCCGTAGATTGTACGCACCATATAGTTGCGATAGTTAGAACCTCACAATAGCTTTTTGTAGAAATAAAAAACTCACGTGATCAATTATCACGGTCTGAAGCCTTTAGAAAGTTTTTTTAATTTTTGGTCCTTTTAATCAAAGCTTGCTTGATTGATCATCTCATTTTCGATGCGACCACTAACCAGTCACAGGACAACAAACCACACTGCATGTTACAGTTTCCTTTTTTGTGTGTTTTTATTTTTATTTCAGCCGGCATGGTCATTACCCTCTTAATCCGTTCTAGTTTAACAACGAATGCGCTGGTGGTTTCGCACTTGTACAATTTCTTAAGAATGCTTTTTCGCAGACGCAAGAAGAAGTGCATACGATACATGGAGGCAGGCGATGGCAATGACGGGAACCAATCCGACGACAACCTAGGCAGCTGCGGCAGCATGGGCGACGCTCACACGCCGCCCGAGGACGACGCCGAGAGCCTCAACCAGTCCATCTCCAGCCCCGGCGCCCTCTCGGGGTTGAGCAGTCTGACGAGTCCCGGAGGGATGGTGATGCCAAGTCCGTCAACGAGCGTCGCGAGTCCCTCAGTGAGTGTGGCTAGTCCTTATATGCTGCAGAGCCCGCTGACCCCGCACGAGGCCTTCGACGTGAAGCTGCCGCCGCCTCCGCACCCTCACCATCAGCCGCCCCGCAACCCCGTCGGGACTAACCCCCACGATATAAACAATCCGCTCAGTGTGAACCAATTGACCGGACAGTGCGTGAGAAATGACTCCTCGGACACGAATGGAAAAGAGACACGCTCTATTATCAGCGTTACGTAGCCCCCCTGAATGGGGCTGGGCCAGGACTGTGTTCAGTGCAGTGCGATGATCTCAATTTGCTCCCCGTTCATTTGTTTTTTGTTATTTTGACTCTAGTACTGCACTCGTGGAATTTTATACTATGTAWCATAAATGTCATTTGCCAAAATCACCTCTATATATTATAAAATATCCATTTATATTTTCTAGTTACTTATAGTGGTATTTGGATGTTGGAGGACGACCCCGACTGTACTTAACACCGAATTCTCCAACTTCTAATTAAATTAGAAGACATTCTTTGGTTTTATCATGACGTGAAGTCTGCTTCAAAAATTACAATCTCTCATCATGTAACTTCTAATTAAATTAGAAGACTAATTTCAAAAGATTAATTTGTGTTTACTATTAAGAAAATAGTATTTTTTATTGCAGCTTCTAATTAAATTAGAAGACATCGTGTACTTTGAAATTGCTTCAAAACTGATGACGATATCTATGTTTGCAATAGATAATAGAAATTTTACATTTTGACACTGGTCTGAAAATGGCTTTTTGTATCAAATTTTGGTTTGAAATTGGCCGACTTTAGTAGAGGTACTTAGTTTCTAGAGTTTACATTGGTTTAATGTGTGATCCTTCAACATCCAAGTAGTAATTTAGATAGTTTAAATTTATGTTCCTTGTGCCACAAACTTTTGATACTACTTTGTTTGTTTTTATTTTAATGATTCGAGAAAACAATTATTACAAATAGAAACAATACGAGTAGTTTTGGTAGAAACCACAACCATTTTTTCGTTTGAAAATTACCAGAGTAAATGAAATTATTAAGTTGTATATTGATACAAAATGTAATTACTTTGTACATAAAAATGTTATATATAAAGTTAATCTTGTAAAATTTATTTGAACGTTCTATATTTTATTTGTTAAAATTGTGGCGAGCCATATTATTTTCTAATTATGATCGAAATATTTGAGCTTTTATGTTGCAATTTTGAACGGCCATATATTTGAATAAAGACACAATTTCCTCAGTCATGTATATAGTTTTGACGCAAAACTACAATATCTTCTCAAGAGACGCGTGCTATCCAGATTCAAAGCAGGGAAATTATTAGGCGTTCGTGTTCAATACTTTAATTTACTATAATAAAAAAGAGACATGTGATATTTTATACTATTTAATATAAATATATTATGTTTGGCTTCCCTCAGGATTTTGCATTTACTGACTTTCATTTGGCAATGTTGCGTCGACAACATTGGACAAAACAATCGTCTTGATTCAAACGCCGAGGAGAGATTAATTTATGTGCCATATTCGTTTGAACCACGACCGTTGTTTCCAAGCTCGTGACTGTTTAGGTTAAAACGGATACCTTTAAGTTTTGGATAAGTGCAATGTAAATGTCTAATAGTTAACTTGAAACTGATAAGAGAGAAACGTCTTTTGTGTGCCGACTGTCCGACTTGTGCCCTTGTTAACATTTGTTTTTTTTTTCCATAGTTTGATTTGGCATGGGTCAGACAATCTGCCGTGCATTCAAACCGGGTCATTATGAATGGCCCGGTCGGTGTACCAACATAGAGTAAATGAATATACATATATAAATAAATTAGAGTATGTAGATGTTAATCGTCTTTGTAAGTAGCATCTGTTCGTAACACCGTCTAGGCTAATAATCATTCAATACAAAACCTCAATATGAACGCATTTTTTTTTTGCACCTGATCCTGCGAGAGTAAACACGGTTTTAATGCCACACATGTGCTTCACCTAAACCAAATGACGCAACTGAACATCACCGAGTTTAGGTGAACGCCTAGAGTGAATATAAATACCACATAAACAGTCCATCAACGTGTTTACGTCATTTTCTTAGATAAATCGACGTACCACACGTGACTCAAAACAATTCTCTTGCTCTTAATAAGAAAAAAAAATGGTAATCGAATTTAGTAAACTGCGTCAGAAAAAATATATGAAATGAAACTGCTAATAACATTTGGTATTAAATTAAATGCCGTTTTTCGTAGATGATACCGGGTGTTTCAGAAATAAATACTCTCCAAATGCAACAGTTTGTTTAGTTCCATTTTTTCAAAATCGATATTTTTTTGAGGTATTATTCACTTGTATCAATTGACCGGAAGTTTTTGCGAGGCGTAAATTAGTAAGTTTTTACTTAATTTTGCGTGTGCAAGTCAAGCAAACGTACTTTTGTTGTTGAAACAATAATTATTACAGTTATAAAATTATATTTTAGAAACAATCAAATAAACATTCGAATTTTATATACAATTATTTTGATGTTGTAACTTCAGAAGATTCACAAATTTTTACTTTTCTTATTTTGTAATTGTTAAAACGTTATAATAATATTTTAGTAGTGAAAATCAGGGTGTTTTAGGACTGTGAATTCATGGACGTAGTCCACTCATGAGCGAAACGAATTCGCTTAGATGAAACCTTATTCACCCTTGTGCTCAAGTGGCCCAATAGAAAAACAGGGCGAAATCTTTGAAAAAATGTTAATTTTTAAATATACCTTTAAAACGGGGGTGTTTTCACGATTTTTTCCGCTTTTCTGTTTAGTCTTGAAAATCAGGGTGTTTTTCCTTAAAAAGTGGCAGTTTGCATAGGGGTCCTTATACTACTTATTTTATACATATTATGTGAAATGTTCCGAGAAATCGATTGACGTCGAGAAAACTACAAAATTCTTGATCGTTTAGAAGTTATAGTTGAAATAATATTTTGGATATCTTTTTTTGTACAATAAAAAATTAAATTTGCTTTCCAACGTCACCAAACAAAGAGGACTAGCGTCAATAGTTCCGAAGTTATTAGCAATAAACCGCTCCGAGTACAGAAAATCGCTCAAAATTTCCACAAATTTTGAAAAAATTAAAAACTTCAAAATAGAACCATTTGCACACTCTTGGGGGTTCAAGAGACTTAGAAAAGTACAAAAACGTTGCAAAAATGTAAGAAATAAATTGTATGTAAGTCTGTATGAATATATTGAATTAAAACATTGAGAGTGTTGGTGGCGTGGTGGTGTAGCGGCATAAAGTCCCGCTTTCATAAAAAATACATAAAAAGTGTTGCATTTGGTTTGTTCTGCACACAAAACTAATGTATTTATTTCTGTTCCAACATGGGACTGAGTCAAGGATGACTACTTGATCCAACATTGTCACAGTTTTTTTTTTTAGTTTTAGTATTAATCGAAGCATGATCACAATACGATTAATTAAAAATATTTAGCAGTGAAAAGTATTTGTAAAGGATAATGTTAAATCAGTAATAGAGGAAAACAAAAAAAACCTAATGAGTAATCTAAATATTTGGAAGAAAACGATCGACTCGAGTAAATATTTTAAACAGTGGAAAAATATATATTTTCAAAATAAAAATTTTCTTTAAACTTAAACAAAAAGACATGGTAAAAACCTGGTTCGGGTATTGCCGGTTTCATCGTTACAATTTGTATATTTGGTTGCCTATACTTTGTGTTAAGATTTTTCCATTTTTGGGAGAGATGGATGGATGCCTCTGTGCATTATTTTGTTTAAAATGAATTAAATAAAAATCGTTGATCGTTTTAGCATTCGTTTGTCATTTGTGAAGATTGATTGTGCGTTTTCGTTGTTTAAATCGATTCCCAAAGCCCCCGAGCGCAACCTGCACAATAATTGCTGTGATGAAGTCGTGAATGGGACTTAGAAAAATATCTTATAACACAGACTGTTGTTTAAAGTACCAGATGGTGTATGTTACATCAATATCCATTTATGGCCAATGAGGAAATCAGCACTAATTGCTATAAGCGTTTAAAGTACTGAAAGAGTAAAAATCTTACGTCATTTAAAAAAAGACCAAATCTGCAAAAGAGTAATGTTGTTACTAGACGGCGCATGCATTATTTATTTATGTAAGATTGAAAAATGAACGTTTTTTGTCAAAATTATCAAAAAAAAGTGCAATTCATACGCCACATAAACCTGCCTTGACCTTTTCTCACTCCATTTCCAATTAATCATTTCTGAATCTTTTTCAATATTTTCTGGATTTAAAAAAGCGACAAATTGGTAATAATAGTAATAAGAATGGAGTAGCTGTAGACTTTCAAGGTCGTCTAAAACTTTGCAGAGTAATAACTCAAACAAAAACACTAAATTCTGCGTATTACATTTGCCTAATCAAAGTTGTGTATTTCAGCAAAGTAAAATAATCACCTCGCGAATGTTAGGTAGATTCATCGATCTGCGTCATAAACTGGTATCAATCAGACATAACGGAAATATTTACTTGATCAGGTTAAAATTGAAGTAAACAGTGAATTTTCGGAAATTTTACTGAGTTTTAGCTTCCTTTTCGTCCTTGATTATAACCACGCATTTTGTCTAATAACAAAACCAATTTAAATACTTATTTAAAATCCAAGTCGTGTCTAAATATGTGCAAATTAGAACCATAACGTCCAATCTTCGAATTCCTTGAATTCCCAACGTTATGACAGTTTCACTGCTGAAATAATCTTGTTAGTCCCTTATTTACATGTATATGACCTGAAAGAAAGCCTCACTACCAAAAGTTAGGGGAAAATTATGCCTTGGAGAAAAGCTAAATGTTCTATTGTAGGGAAGTCGACGAAAACTTAAATGAAATATGTCTACCCCATTGTGCTCGTAACAAAGTTTCTATGCTGATTTTATTATTTTGGAGAGGGTGCGACATTTTCTCTCATTAGGAGACTCATACAATGATTTTATGAAACAAATAGAAAAACTCACATTCAAAAAAGGAAAAAAGAATCAAATGTGTAAGTACAAATGATCATTGGGTCGAGATCAAATATGAAAAATATCCAACCGAATCGTTCAAATATGTTTTCAAGGTAAAAGAATTAATTTTTTTAATTAAACCAAAGTATTTGAACTTTTAAATCGTGAGATTTATCCAGGGCTCACAAGAATTTCATCAGCTTCCAAGTAAGTACTAGCTGCTGCATACTGAAACAGAGATTAGGTTTATTCTTCTTTGGGGTTACCGCGGAAATTAGAATTGAAATTGAATGAAATTGAAAAGACTTGGAACCAACGAAAACTTCTGTGATTCTAAATAGTTGCAGGATGACTTTTTTAGTCGATATCTCTGCTTAGGTCAATATAAAAGTTCCAAAAATATGCTAATAAACTGAAAATTTCCCAAACGTTAGGATTGCTAGACCCGAAAGTATCCAAATATCATAGTTTTTATAATTGTTTTCAACCACAATATACTGGCGAGTGACACAACGCAAGAGGAACACAGTTTTAGTTGTTAAATTTCGGTTAAAATACAATAAAAAAATTCAACGAACTAAATAAACATTTCTTTAAAAATGCAAAAAAATAAGTTAAAAAAAAAGATGGAAAAAAACTGGTTGGACGTTTATAGGTCATTCAGTAGCGCAACATCTTTTTTTCCCTGGGACGGCTTTGAAACTTATTTTTGAATCTAAATAGTTTTTGATTCATTTCCAGCCTTTCTCTGATTAAAAGTTAAAGTTTATTTTTTGTTGTTAATTTTTAGAGTTTATAGTTTTTTAACTACACAGATGTAAGGTTTTGTTTTTTTTTTGCAATTAAAAACGAACGTATTAACCGGAATTATTTGTTACAACAAATTGCAGATTGTATTTGTGTTTTACCTATTGTTACTTTTTTTATAAGTTATAGAAGAATCCGTATTTTAAAGAGTTTATAAACGGAACTGATAAGTGTAACAATTTATTATTGAAATGCATTTTAAATAATTTGGAAATGAAATCTCCAGTTTTAAAAACTTTTTTGACTACAATAGTCAATGCAATAATAGTAGTCTAATATGTGTAGCTTTTTAACTCAGATTATTATGCTTAGTTTTTTTTGTCATTTTTCTATTTTCTACGCATTTTTTTTTTCAACAAAAACCATAGTTCAGTTGTTACGTCTGGCCCACATTTTTAGGAAATCATAAGAAACAGGGTGGTTTTCCTTATTTTTGGTATAAAAATCTGGCTCACATTTTTAAAAAGGTCATAAAAAATAGGATAGTGTGCATAAAAAATTGATGTTTCAATAGATAAAATAGGTCTAAAAACAGGTCATTTTCTTAATTTTTGTGTTTTTGAACAGACAATGGGCTGTTTTTCAAACTCAACAAACTTCAACGACTAAAACTTGAAAATCGACTCATTTTCCTAAAAAAATTATGTTTTTTGGAAAATCTGAGTCAGAAGTTAGGGTTAAAAATCAGGGTAAAAAGTCAAATTCAACGTTGTTTTGGTTGAAATATGGGTTTTTGTTGAAAAAAAATGCATCGAAAATAGAAAAATTACTAGGAAAACTAAGCATAATAATCTGAGTTAAAAAGTTACACATATTAGACTACTAATAATGTATTAAAAAAATGCTAAATGTAGTTTAACCAGTTTCTGAGTCGTTTCCAAATGTCAGTTTACCCATCTAAACAACAATTAGCTTCGTATTTAGCAGTTGGGGGTCGCTTAATTTTTATGGTAACACCTAATGTTTCACTATTTGCATAGAATTATAACCAACCATGACTGTAAACGACACATTATCACTTCCTAGAAGTATTTAGGTGAAACTAGAATCTCTCCCTAAGTTAATGTAAAGAACCAGACAATATTTGCAATTTGACATCTAATTAAGTATTT